GAGAGAGAGAGAGAGAGAGAGAGAGAGAGTCAGAGTCAGAGTCAGAGTCAGAGTCAGAGAGAGAGGGGAGAGGGAGAGAAAGTTATAATTCATTATCTTTGGAATATCAAGGAACAGATGAGAACCAACAGGCGAGGAAGCTATGAGCGAGGCTGAATGTGTTGTCTAAGCAGGACAGGGAAGGTTATTCTAAGATACACAAAGCATAAACAAAGCTGTTAGTGAGTAAAAATGTTATGAATTGCTAATGTGCATCGTAATGCCTAGCATCGACATTCATAAAGGGATATACAAAGGAAAAGATGAAAATACATGAGTGGTGTGAACTTTAGTTAATTTCTATAGTTTATATTTAAAAATGTTAACTGAGTAATGTAGCACGAATTCTAATTAGTATTAATAATAAAAACCAGGAGACAGATATTGGGGTTCAAGCTGAAGATCAGAAAAGCAAAGCAGCCAAGCCACTAGAGAGTTCTTACATTTACCAAGGCTCAGACCAAAGGGTAGCTATCCTGTCCTCAGAGTGACTGCAGTCTGCAAAGTTCTCCCAGATCTTACACTGTCCTGAGACTGCACTGAGCTCCTGCCTTATATTCCTCTCTAGTGCTGGGATTAAAGGCGTGTCATCCCAAGCGCCAGATCAAAGGTGTGAGCTCTGTTTCTCTTTTAGACTGATTTACTCTCATGTAGCCCAGGGTGGGCTTGAACTCACAGATCCATTTGCCTCTGTCTCCCAAGTTCTGGGATTAAAGGTTTGGCCACCACTGCCTGTCCTCTATGGCTAACTAGTGGTTTAGTGTGTGTGTGACTAACTAGTGGCTTAGCTCTGTGCTATGATTTTCAGGCAAGCTTCATTTGTTAGATTACAAACACAATATCACTACAGAGTAACAAAACATTTAATGCTTATTCATTCCCCCCACAAAGTAAGCAGGATAAAGGAAAATTGAAAATATGAAATTGTATGAGAGCCCAGACTAGGCATACCTTTATTGATGAACAAAAATGGATTTAGTTTGCTTATTAAAAGGTTTAGACGGAACCTTTAAGTAGAATGAGTGAAATCTAAAATAAAAGTAATACAGAAAAGGTCTGCATGGTGGCAGTCAGAGAAATACAATTCTTTGTCTTCATTTGAAAACATAACCTTTGAAGGAGTGTTGGCAGCTGAGATAATTTAATTTGAAAATGCTTAAGAAAGCAAATTTTAATTAATTTTGTTTTTAATGACATCTTTGTGTTGGTATTTTTTAGGATTTACATAAACTCGAATTAAAAATTCTAGATAGACAGTCAAAAGAAGAGGAAAAGGCAGAAAAACAAAGACGACTGGCCAAATTAAAAGAAAAGGTATTCTGTTTTGTTTTGAGATAGATCTTGCTATGTAGCCCAGGCTATGTTTGAATGCACAGGTGTGTGCCATCATGCCCTGGTTTAATTAAGTTTACTTTTTAAACTCAATTTCTTAACCAGTATGTAACCATAATTTTTCACACTAATGAAGTATATATTTCCTCACTTATATAACGTGTGATATTTATTTATGTGATATTTAAATCAGACTAAGCATAGTCATCTTTTCAGATATTTATCATTTCTTTATGGCAAACCAAGTCAAAATAAATAATAATAATATTATAATAATAGCTCTCTGAAATCTACAGTAGCACACCAGAGCATTTTACCTTTTCCTGGCTCCCTCCTCCTTACAGTCCTGATTCCTTGACTGTAAGGAGACTGGCAGATCTTCTCCCTTTAGATCTCATTGTTCTTAGATACCACAGAACACAACTTAATACATTTTTAGCAATTATTGTTTGAGCTCTGCCATTTACTTGTGAAGCACTCTTTTCTTTCACCCTGAATTTTCTGTGTTGTCTTGATCATCATCCTTTCTGAACCTCCATTCTGCATCTGTTTAGTTGTGGACATTGCTTAGTCTCACTAGTAACAGCTCAGGACCATGGATCAAGTAGAAGACTTTATTGGTGTTATTTATCCTACATTTATTGTCTGGTTATATTGCTGTTATACTAAGCTGTAGTCTATTTCTCATAATTAAAATAGAAATGAAATACTAGAACTAGGAAAGGATAAATGAGTGGTTTATTAATTGATGTTAGTGGTATAAGCACAATTTTTGGATTGTAAGCTTATTTTGGATACATGAGTTAGTTCATGCTTGAATAATACCCAAGCATAATTTTTAAAACTGCTTTGTGTTACTAAGGATTTTACTTAGTACAAATTTAGTTCATATAAGTTAATTGATACTATTTTACTTCTGATCACAGGTTGAAAATAATGTCAGTAGAGATCCTTCTAGGCTTTATAAACCTACCAAAGGCTGGGAAGAGCGAACAAAAAAGATAGGCCCATCAGGCTCTGGGCCACTTCTCCATATTCCACACAGGTGAGAAGGTAGTAGAAGGTGTTCATTTATAAAGATTTATAATGTTTTTATCTTATGTTTGTATTTTTGTATGCATGTTTGTATTTTATGCAGTTTGTGAATATAATTTCTCATTAACAGATTGATAAAGCATATCTATATTTTAACTTTTTATTTATATGTGTTATGTGTCGTGTGTGTGTATGGTCATGTGAGTGCTATGGGTGCTGTGATGTACATGTGACTGTCAGAGGACAACTTGGTTTTGTGCCCCTTCTTCCATCATGGGGCTCTCAGGAATCCAACTTGGGTTGTCAGACTTGGTTGGAAGTGCCTTTTCCCCCTTTACTGTAGAGACATCTCACCCACCCTGTATATATTTTAAGTTGCCATTTAATCAGTTGCTTTTTGTTGTTGTTTTGATATTCCTGCATATTTAAAATCACTTTTCTCTTTTTCTCTTTAGGGCCATTCCAAGTTGGCGACAAGGAATTTAGAGGGACTATGAGATAATGTAATTGCTAGTCACTTGGTGAGAATGTTAGTATTGCTATTTCAGGAGTAGGTGATTAACTTTGCTATTTAAATGTTACTAGCTTAGTGAGGTTGGTTATTGTGCTGTATATGAATTGAGAGGTTTTAAGTGTCACATGGCATTGTCAGTATTTTGTTTCTACAGAGATGGTGTATGTTGGCCTATACAAACATTATTCCATTTAAATACTCAAAATATTTCAAAGATATTTTGTTTTTATCATATCTTAGTGAAATAATTTGGGAGAATCAGTCTTTTTAAGCCAAAATTTTGTAACTTTTATAACTTGGAAGTAACTAAGCTTGAGTAACAAAACGTAAAGTGTCTTTTTAAAAAGAATTGTTCAATAACTTAGTACTTTTTCTAAGTTTAACAAAATGGTAGTTTGTTGGTTGTTTCATTTTTGTGTAATGAATATTTTGTATTTGATTAAAGCATGCTTTGTTTTATATGGAGACTATTTTAAATAACCTCCCTTGCTACATGTACCTCATTTATTATTTATTATGATGTCATCCTTCAGGTTTCCTGCAACTGTATCAAATTTCCTTTCAGGCTTTCTGGACCCACAGATTTATAAAATCTTTGTGTTTTTGTATCTTACTGTGTGGCACAGTTTTCTTCCGATTGCCCCAAAGTAGGAACATTATTTCTTCTGAAATAAGCTAGTTTTACTTCCAGCCTTGTTTTTAATTGAGAGAGAGAGAGAGAGAGAGAGAGAGAGAGAGAGAGAGAGAGAGAGAGAGAGAGTGTGTGCATGAGCTCACGAGTGAATCATGTGTTTGGGTGCAGGTACATATGTGCCACGATATGCTGGGGACATCAGAGGACAACTTGGTGGAACTGGTTCTCTCCTTCTCTCTTTATGTTGATCCCTAGGATTGAGTTCAGGTTTCCAAGCTTGTGCAACTGCTGAGAAGCAGATATTACCCAGGGTGCTTGGGAGTTGAGCGTTAAGCAAGTATGTATAACATTAGTACATTTTGTAGGAAATTAATTTTCTGCAATTAAAAGTACACCCATATTTCTACTAACTTGCTTGATTTGTAAAGAACCTCGTTTAGGCCTCATCTTTTGTGGACCTCTTCATGAATACATGGCCAAGGCAACTTAAATTCTTTTTTTTTTCTTTTCTTTTTCTTTTTTTTAGATTTTATTTATTATGTATTCAACATTCTGCTTCCATGTATGTCTGCACACCAGAAGAGGGCACCAGATCTCTTTACAGATGGCTGTGAGCCACCCATGTCGTTGCTGGGAATTGAACTCGGGACCTCTGGAAGAGCAGTCAGTGCTCTTAACCTCTGAGCCATCCCTCCAGCCCCTTAATTCTATTTTTATATGACTAAGATTTTTTTTAAACAGCCTTGCCCATTGGTTATACATTGTCTGTGGCTAATTATAAGTTATAGTGAAATTGCAACTGAAGGCCTGAATAGTTGTGACAGGCTGTTTGAACCATAAAGCCTAACATGGTCTGGCCCTCTAGAAAAAAAAAGTCAACTGTGAATAAATGTCTGTGTATAAGCATGAATGAATTTTACTATTTTGTTTATACTTAATTTTTAAGAAGAAACCTGTATCAGTATTTGTAAACTATCAACAGAGCATATAAAGTATAAGCAGAAATAATTCTTACATTGTTAAGTTCCCTTTATATAATCAGTATTTAATATTTAAGCAAATACTTGACTAGCAAACACATTTTATATACTGCCTCCTTATCTTTGTATCTTTTGTTATTTTTGTTTGATTTTCATAAATCCTGCTTGGATTGCTTTATCTTCTATTCCTGTTGCCTCAGCTTAAGATGAGCCAATGTTTGATCTTATTCTTTTAATCTTTACTATTCTTGAATTCTTTGGTATTTGATGGGTCTATTTCAAGGGTCTTCAATTAACTGAACTGCGCCCTGCCAATTTGTCACCTGCACTTTTAAAGCACCAAAACTCAGTACACAGCATAGGTCCAAGCGTTGTAAAATGAGGACCACCAGTGCGTGCATTTTAGAATAATTCCAGATACTCTAAAAAGGATTAGAAAAAATGTCTGAATCTTCATAGTGTTGATAAATCTCTTGTAAAACGGGTTGTCTCCGGTTTCCACCTGTTAAGTTTGGCTTGCCTGTTCATTCAGCTTAAAACTGTGGCCCTCCAAAAATGAGTCTTTGCAAAATTAAACTTTCAGATCTCACACCCTTATGTTGTGTAGGGCCAGGATTTAAACTGTGTTGGTTAGCACATGAAATGGGTTTCACTCTGTCATTTTCACAAACAAAAAAAATCTTAGGAAGATATTTACGAACTGCTTTTACAAGACGCGAGAACGGTTTCTAAAACTTTGGGACTGAGTAGAAAAAACTGACTAATCTAGAGAGAAGAGAGACGAGGAGGTC